AGTACACCGATAATATACTATATATGTGTGACGATGTTAGTACACAGATAACATACTATATATGTGTGACGATGTTAGTACGCATACACATACTATATACGTGTGACGATGTTAGTACACAGATAACATATTATATATGTGTGACGATGTTACCACACAGCCAATATACTATATATGTGTGACGATGTTAGTACAGAGCCAAAATACTATATATGTGTGACGATGTTAGTACACAGATAACATACTATATATGTGTGACGATGTTAGTACACAGATAACATACTATATATGTGTGACGATGTTAGTACACAGATAACATACTATATATGTGTGACGATGTTAGTACACATACACATACTATATACGTGTGACGATGTTAGTACACAGATAACATATTATATATGTGTGACGATGTTACCACACAGCCAATATACTATATATGTGTGACGATGTTAGTACAGAGCCAAAATACTATATATGTGTGACGATGTTAGTACACAGATAACATACTATATATGTGTGACGATGTTAGTACACAGCTAATATACTTTATACGTGTGACGGTGTAAGTAGACAGGTAACATTTTATATACGTGTGACGATGTTAGTACACAGCTAACATACTATATACGTGTGACGATGTTAGTACACAGATAACATACTATATATTTGTGACGATGTTAGTACACATACACATACTATATATGTGTGACGATGTTAGTACACCGATAACATACTATATATGTGTGACGATGTTAGTACACAGATAACATACTATATATGTGTGACGATGTTAGTACACAGATAACATACTATATACGTGTGACGATGTTAGTACACAGATAACATACTATATATGTGTGACGATGTTAGTTCACAGATAACATACTATATATGTGTGACGATGTTAGTACACAGATAACATACTATATATGTGTGACGATGTTAGTACACAGATAACATACTATATACGTGTGACGATGTTAGTACACAGATAACATACTATATACGTGTGACGATGTTAGGAAACAGCTAACATACTATATACGTGTGACGATGTTAGTACACAGATAACTTACTATATATTTGTGACGATGTTAGTACACATACACATGCTATATATGTGTGACGATGTTAGTACACAGATAACATACTATATATGTGTGACGATGTTAGTACACAGATAACATACTATATATGTGTGACGATGTTAGTACACAGCTAATATACTATATACGTGTGACGATGTTAGTACACAGCTAATATACTTTATACATGTGACGGTGTAAGTAGACAGCTAACATACTATATACGTGTGACGATGTTAGAACACAGATAACATAGTATATACGTGTGACGATGTTAGTACACAGATAACATACTATATATTTGTGACGATGTTAGTACACATACACATACTATATATGTGTGACGATGTTAGTACACAGATAACATAGTATATATGTGTGACGATGTTAGTACACAGCCAAAATACTATATACGTGTGACGATGTTAGTACACAGATAACATACTATATACGTGTGACGATGTTAGTACACAGCTAACATACTATATACGTGTGACGATGTTAGTACACAGCTAACATACTATATACGTGTGACGATGTTAGTACACAGATACCATACTATATACGTGTGACGATGTTAGTACACAGATAACATACTATATACGTGTGACGATGTTAGTACACAGATAACATACTATATACGTGTGACGATGTTAGTAAACAGCTAACATACTATATACGTGTGACGATGTTAGTACACAGATAACTTACTATATATTTGTGACGATGTTAGTACACATACACATACTATATATGTGTGACGATGTTAGTACACAGATAACACACTATATATGTGTGACGATGTTAGTACACAGATAACATACTATATATGTATGACGATGTTAGTACACATACACATACTATATACGTGTGACGATGTTAGTACACAGCTAATATACTTTATACGTGTGACGGTGTAAGTAGACAGCTAACATACTATATACGTGTGACGATGTTAGAACACAGATAACATAGTATATACGTGTGACGATGTTAGTACACAGATAACATAATATATATTTGTGACGATGTTAGTACACATACACATACTATATATGTGTGACGATGTTAGTACACAGATAACATAGTATATATGTGTGACGATGTTAGTACACAGCCAAAATACTATATACGTGTGACGATGTTAGTACACAGATAACATACTATATACGTGTGACGATGTTAGTACACAGCTAACATACTATATATGTGTGACGATGTTAGTACACAGATAGCATACTATATATGTGTGACGATGTTAGTACACAGATAACATACTATATATGTATGACGATGTTAGTACACAGATAACATACTATATATTTGTGACGATGTTAGTACACAGCTAATATACTATAAATGTGTGACGGTGTTAGTAGACAGCTAACATACTATATATGTGTGACGATGTTAGTACACATACACATACTATATATGTGTGACGATGTTAGTACACAGATAACATACTATATACGTGTGACGATGTTAGTACACATACACATACTATATACGTGTGACGATGTTAGTACACATACACATACTAACAGAATAGCAGCTGATCGTTGTTGCCACACAGATGAGCCGAGGGCTGGTTCTGTGGCAAGTTGCTTGTAGAGGGGGAGCGTCTTCATATGACTTACATAAGCATCACTGTTGATGTTGTTTGTGTAGTTACGAGGCACTTCAAAAGATGAAGTGAACAAGACAAGCCCGCAATAGTTAAATCCAAACTAAAAGACAAACACAACAAACAGATAATCATTTCCCACACACCCAGACATCGATAACGTTCCAGCGATGCCGGACATTAGGTTCAATAATAGTGATATTTCAGAACGTTCAGTTAAACGTTCTACAGCTGGATATGCCGACTTGCTACACTCTCCAATTAACAATCAGTTCCACAGGACCCGTTTTCTAAAGATTTCCAGCCAGCATGTCACCAACATGTTCAAATAAACATCCCAATAAATAATCGTGAAGAAACCATGTATTATTTAGATTAGTTTCGCCATATCTGACTGCCTCATTCCAGCATGTTCATACAATTATTGATTTTCCTTTTTGAACTTTTGATAATGTTCCATTTGTATGACTTGTCATAAGGCCCGCTGCGAGTTTTGTTTAAACACAACATTTAAGTAGACACTGGATCTCAATTGGTTTTAGATTGCAGAAGCTGACGGTAACGTATGTACATAAATCAAGCAATCAATGGTTGACAGAGAACTTGATCGGTGTGCCATGGATTCCATATTCAGTGCCTACACATTGCGTGAAGATCAAAGCCGGTTACAGCGTGTGATCTGTAGACAGCCTTCAAATGATTGCATGTTGTAGTGTCATTTGGTAATGCCTGCCGCATACGATGATTTAAAGCTATATTTACTGAAACAGATTGGGATTTGCGTGGATGCAGACAGACTTATTGTTGAACCAATACTGCTGAATGTTTGAAGTACTTGTGCTTAATCTCGATACAATGACTCCTGGGAGACTGAAATGTCCATACCATATCGCTGTTGTCACTATCACTCATCGTCTGACGGACTTGAGTGAGTGATTTGGTTTTCACGCCGCTTTTAACAGTATTCCACTTATATCGCGGCGTGTCAGCTTAATGTGGGAGGAAAGCCCGAAGTGATGCAGGTCTCAGACGTTTACCACTTCGGTGAAACCCACGAGCATGGGTATGGTGCTGACAAACCTAGAAACATAATCGGGGCCAACCGGGATTCGAGCCCACAATCATAGGTTTCTCGCGTGTCCAAGGGACACAACTCCGCACAGCGAATCGCGGCGCCTCAGACGACTGGGCCACCCGTGCCCCCCTGACGGACTTGAACCTGACTGTATAAGTTATACCGTGTGTACTTTTTGGGTCTCTCGAGCTCCTGTCTGTCCTACGTCACTTACCGTTTCGCAAGTCTGAATACGTACACTCGTTCTGGTACCAATGGAAGAATTTCCTCTTTCAAAGATTATGTTTTTTTAATTATTTTTTTTATTGTTCGTGTTCTTTGGCTGGGCATGGCTATGGGAAGCACACACAATACTATTGATCATCTCATTGGTTGGCAATGTCCATTGTATCAGGTGCCTTTGACCTTCAACCTCAGCCACCGTCCAGCCCTTCCCCCATCCTATGGTATGCGATAATGGGGGTGCCAACCCCCACCTCTAGTCATCCGACATACCAATTAATTCGTCTTGGCATCCAATCGAAGAACTTAGTCTACATGGCAATTAAAGTAAATTAGACTGGATTTTTCACAGAAAATGCAGGAACGTCACGCGTATAGGGTTAAAGCTTAATATTTTATTGATTTGTCGCTCTTTGCAAGAAACAAGGAAAACTATATTTCAATTAATATTGGCATCCGCGTACCAGATAAACATGTTATGGCATCCAGCGTAGTGCCCTGCAGAATCTGGAATACCAGACTGCATTCTGGGAATCAAAAGGAGGTTGGCACCTGTACGAGTTCTCAGTTCCCATGTCTGCATCCCACCCAGAAAGTCCATCTGTTTGTTATATTTCTTCAACGTGAAACGAGTAAAAACGTTTCTTAAATGTCTATTTATGTATTTAACGATCAGACCCGTGAAGATTCCGGGTTAGAACAGGTCTTCAGCAACCCATACTTGCCGTAAAAGGCTACTATGCTTGTCGTAAAATGCGACTAACGGGATCGGGTGGTCAGGCTCGCTGACTTGGTTAATGCATGTCATCGATCCAAATTGCGTGGATCGATGCTCATGATATCAATCACTGGATTGTCTGGTCCAGACTCGATTATTTTACAGACCGCCGTCATATAGCTGGAATATTGCTGAGTGCGGCGTTAAACAACAAACAAACAAACAAACAAAAACGATCACTGACCTGATACCTGATGGGACCTGTTATAGTTACAGTATATGGCACGCGAGCTGGTGAGTATGGTCTCATGACAATTCCGTGTCACCGTTGACCTACTTCGTGACTCGACTTTTCTTGAAGTCGGCTTGACTTCTCTGTCATTATCTGCCCTATCGCCGAGTTAATGTTTTGTGTAATGGAACCTCTTGCTTAATGTAACCTTCATGAAACCTCAACTTAACCACACTGTCACAGCATGGGAGCAGATAAGCTTGTACCCTTCTTTCACAAAGTGACTGAGTGAGTTGGGTTTAACGCCGCTTTTAATAGTATTCCAGTTATATCACGGCGTGTCAGCTTAACGTGGGAGGAAAGCCCGAAGTGATGCAGGTCTCAGACGTTTACCACTTCGGTGAAACCCACGAGCACTGGTATGGTGCTGACAAACCTAGAAACATAATCGGGGCGAACCGGGATTCGAACCCACAATCACAGGTTTGTGGCTTGCCCAAGGGACGCAACTCTGCACAGCGAATCGCGGCGCCTTAGACGACTAAGACGAGGAAAGCCCGAAGTGATGTAGCTTTCAGACGTTTACCACTTTGGTGAAACCCACGAGCAGGGGTATGGTGCTGGCAAACCTAGAAACATAATCGAGGCGAACTTGATTTCTAACCCGCAATCGTAGATTGTTGGGGGAGGCAGCGAATTCCGGCGCCTCAGACGACTTGTCCATCATGAATATTCGTTCACGTGACACACTACACGTTTGTGTAAACATTCACCATCTCACAACTTTATTGATAACTGTCTGTGGCCCAAAACAGGCATCTTTTAAACTGTTTGATGGCCATGACACGTGGATCACATCACGATTGTGATTACAGGTGCACCATGTCATACCTTAACTTGCACGACACGCCATCAATACACACGCGCCATGTTACGCACGTGCAACGCAGCTCAGACATGTTTACATTTACGTTATCCCACGTGCACGTGTTCACATGCAACACAACTGAAATGTGATAACACGTGCAATATGCCATGTGTAAATGTTAATGCATCATGTCTCACTGCTATCTTTACCCTCGACATATCTTTACGCATGCTTGACATAATTGCGATTATTTCTATTGACTCTTTTCTTTAGAATGTTTTCTGTGATCAGTGTTGTTGTAGATATTAATTATTGATGTATAGTGAATGTGGATGTTTTTGTTGTTGTTGACGTCAATGTTGTGGTGTCGTAACATCTGTAGATGGTGATGTTGTAGACAGCGGTGTTCAGGATCACAAGAATGAGTGAGATTACGCCGCTTTTTACAGTATTCAAGTTGTATCACGGCATCAGTTTCATGTAGGAGGAAAGCCCGAAGTGATGCAGAGATTAGACGTTTACCACTTTGGTGAATCCACTGAGCAGGGATGTGGTGCTGAGAAACGTAGAATTATAATCGGAGCGAACCTGGATTCGAACCTACAATCACAGGTTTTTGGCGTGCCTAAGGGGCGCAACTCTGCACAGCGAATTGGGCTCCTTAGACGACTGGACTACTTGTGTCCGCTCACAAGGATGTACAGAAACATGGAGCCAAATATTCTTGAGATACCAACTGTTCTTGAAATAGGACAGTGTCTAAATTATGGGACAATGCGATTGTGACATACACTATGGAATAATTGTTTGATATAATAATATCAGTTTTTGTTTGTTTGCTTGTTTGTTGTTTAAAGATGCACTTAGCAATATCCCAGGGACGGCGGTCTGTTAATAATCGAGTCTGGACCAGACGATCGAGTGATTGACATGCGCTTTGTGAAAGATTTAGGACAAAATAGTTATTCTACGGTAACATGAATTAAAACATTTCTTTCTGTAAATAATACATCACATTGATTTCTGGTGATATATTATGATCCTTGAGAGGGCTCCTGTCAATATTTATCTTATATGCTGAGTAGCATGCATCGTCATTGTATTAGTGAGGTGAAATGGGGTTTAACGTCGCGTCCAAGATTATTGCACTTATATAGCGACGTGCATGTGTGTTTGTGTGGCTGCTTGTACTAGTCCGGACTGATGGCGATTTATAGTGCTAGCTCACTGAGATACCATGCCGCAGTTTAACAGTAATACCCCACTCAGACACAGTATACTGACTCCGAGCCGACCAGTCCTTGTTTTAGCTCCTTAATGCCAAGCGCCAGACGGGGTAACAACAAGTACCATATTTTAACGTCTTTTGGACCTTCCGCTCTCCGGGCGGACGCTCTACCACTAGACCACGGAGGCGGTCTCATTGTATTAGATGCTACGTACAAGTGCACTGACTGTTTCAGGGCGGGAGAGCAGGCTATGGATCCTAAACGCAACTGTGAGTGACATGGGCAAATATGTCTGCTCGGCCGAGAATAGGTTCGGCACCATCTACAACTTTGATGCTCAGCTTTACGTCAAATGTAAGTCACATGGAAACCAGTCTCCGGTACACTTTCTTCTCCTACGACCATACAGCATCATTGTTACGTGTTGATGTGTGATGACTAATAATAGTGAGCGAGTGAGTGAGTGAGTTGGGTTTAACGCCGCTTTTAACAGTATTCCAGTTATATCACGGCGTGTCAGCTTGTTGTGGGAGGAAAGCCCGAAGTGATGCAGGTCTCAGACGTTTACCACTTCGGTGAAACCCACGAGCACTGGTATGGTGCTGTCAAACCTAGAAACATAATCGGGGCCAACCGGGATTCGAGCCCACAATCATAGGTTTCTGGAGTGCTCAAGGGACGCAACTCTGCACAGCGAATCGCGGCGCCTTAGATGACTGGGCCATCCGTGCCCCCGACTAATAATATACTCATCGCCAAAAGAAACATATAGAGAAGTATGTACGTTGAGAAGAGTTGTTTCCAGTGTGTATACCAATTAATGAGCAAAATAACAATCATCCAAGTGTTAACACAGAGTACATTTATTCTTAACCACGTGCTGCACGTGATTTCCAAACGCTGATCCAAATGATGCATCTCGAGTCATGGATCTATGACGTCACATGTAATGAGTTCATGAGCATCGATATCGGTTCACACAACACACCAGTATGTTGGTTTGTGCTTCGAACCAAACCTAATATCTCTTGAATGTGAGTAATTCTTCATATATTAACCAATATGTTTGGTATACGCGTTTCTTTTGGCGGTGAGTATATATCGAAAATTAAATGTGTGGATCGTTGCTCAGACTATCAACCACTCATTCCCCTGGCACCTATTTGATAGTATACATGCTACGGTGATATAGAGTAAATATTGCCGACTATGGCACAAAACAACATTCACCCACTCCCGTTGCTAGGGCTGTCGCTTGCGTAAACGGTCAGTTCACAGGACTTATATTCCTACGGTGGCTCATAAGGGACATGGAGTCTGTTTTTCAATATTAGGATATTTCACTTACTTTTATCGTGACCTTTTGCACATTAACACGATTTGTCATACAAATATGTGATAAATCTGGTATAAAGTAGATATTGAATCGCTGAAAAGTGAAGCGAAAATGTGAAAAACTAAAACGGAAATGTCCAAAACAAAACCGAAAAGGTCAAAAACTAAAATGAAAATGTCAAAAACTAAAATGAAAATGAAGAAAAATTTTGGTTTCAGTTTTTGGCATTTTCGCTTCACATTTCAGCGATTCAATAGCTACTTTAAAGTACATTTTCCATGTTTTCGGTTGTTTTAATACATACATGATTTATCACATATTTGTATGACAAATTGTGTCAATTTGCAAAAGGTTACTCCATGTCCCTTCTGGGCCACCGTAAGATCCCGCATTGCGCAATGTAACCAGTGACAGCCGTCTTTACGAGAGTGAAGATATGAATTCCGGAATGAAAATGTGTTAATGTAATCTTTTGCTAGACATTTTGTAACGTTTAACATTTACATTTTAATTTTAATGACTTTATTTGGAAAGGAGTCATGCATTTGGTTTGGGAACAAAGTCGAAGCAATATCTTCTATCTGAGTGAGTGAGTTGGGTTTAATGCCGCTTTTAACATTATTCCAGTTAAATCGCGGCGTGTCAGATTTATGTGGGAGGAAAGCCCGAAGTGATGCAGGTTTCAGACGTTTACGACTTCGGTGAAACCCACGAGCACGCATATGGTGCTGCCAAACCTAAAAAAATAATCGAGGCCAATCTGAAATAATAAGTAGCATCATTTGTGTATGATAGGTAAATACCATGAGTTCTGGATATGTATTTGATATTTGAACGTGAAATAACTTAAGGCGTCATATGGAAACACATGTGTTTACATTCTATTAGATTCGTCTTAGATAAAAACAATATTGTGCATTTAACGTGTATTTTGAATATTTCAGTAAAGAAAAGTCCGCCTGAATTTTCGGAATTTCCCGAAGATGCCTATGTGAAACCCGGATCTCCAGTCACATTGTCATGCGCAGCAGAGGGCGTGCCGGAGCCAACGATACGCTGGCTTGTTGACGGGACCTACTTAGAAACAACGGAGGTTTCTACTGGCCGAGGCCAGCTTGTGTTGCCGGAGGTGTATGTGTCGGCCTTGTACACGTGTGAGGTCAAAAACATTAAGGGGACCGATAGTATCGACGCCCGAGTCCAAATCGACAGGACGGGTGAGGAACTACATCCAGGGCTCTGATGTTTATTTATTTATTTATTTAAACAAAAATAATTTGTGTATTTATTTTTATTTTTATTTATTTATTTATTTATTTATTTATTTATTTATTTATTTATTTATTTATCATTTATTTATGTATTTATTTATTTATTTAACGCCGCATTCAGCAATATTCCAGATATATGACAGCAGCCTTAATTGATCGCATCTTGACAAGACAATCTCCAGGGATCTAATTTAAAAATCAAAGTGTGAAATGTATACACAAATACCTGACTTGGTGTGATTTTCATAAATGCCTGTGAAAAGTAACAGTGAAATGACCGAGCTACCGTTTAAATAACAACTATACTACTCAAAATAAATATAGAAAACCCGATTATTTCAAATTTATAATAGTTAATATGCAAAGAACACACGAAGACAGATTAGCTATAGTAAGATGAAAGAATCGAGTGTTCTTTAACTTCTTTTGGGTAGTATACTTAATGTGGATAAGTTTGGCGAGTGAGAAACATGACCTGTTGCTGTGGGGCGTCTCAATTTGTTGTGTACAGTTGTCTCCCCTAGTGCTGGTGTTCGTCCTTTGTCTGTCTGTGGCCTTCATCAAAGCTGAACGGCCTCGTCATTTGAGCTTCCCTCGTATATTAGGCTAAGGTAATGGAATAGAGTTTTCGGTAATTCAAAAATGGCAATAATGAGTGAGTGAGTTGGGTTTAACGCCGCTTTTAACAGTATTCCAGTTATATCGCGCCGTGTCAGATTAATGTGGGAGGAAAGCCCGAAGTGATGCAGGTCTCAGACGTTTACCACTTCGGTGAAACCCACGAGCACGGGTATGGTGCTGTCAAACCTAGAAACATAATCGGGGCGAACCGGGATTCGAACCCACAATCATAGGTTCCTGGCGTGCCCAAGAGACGCAATTCTGCACAGCGAATCGCGGCGCCTTAGACGACTGGGCCACTCGTGCCCCCCTCAAATGGCAACAAATAGTATGTAGAATTATAACGTAGACATGCGTTGGGACTGTTGGTGTAGTGTAGCAGTTAAAGAGTTGGCTCACAACAGCACTTTATTTCAGTTCAGGCCCTGTATATACTATATGGCAATCAGAGAACAGGCATTGATTATGTAGGTACATTATACAATTAATGTAATACAGTAAATAACAGCGACAAAACCCTTTCCATATTCATAAGAAATATCCGCTCAATTCACAGCCGGTTGTGCGATTCCGACAGTATCATAGGCATGTGTTTATGAATCACTATCAAATAGTGATGACACCAGGCGTTCGCGAAAAATAACATTATAATTATCGATTTTATCGAATATCTAAAGATTGTGTTTCATATTTTAAACATCAAGAACTCAAAATGCAATTATCTTAATACTGTCATAATAGTATACGCAATCTGCTGGACGTTTTGGGGATAGCTATTTTGAGGATCCGACTCTATCGTGGCAAGAAAGGACACTTAAATACATATTGGAATTCTCCTCACAGGGGCCGTAATCTGCCATGAAGAGGTAGTCTATTCCATTTACATTTTTCTTTAGGGAGACGAGAATTTTGATATTCTTAAAAGTAGTGACGGGATTCTGTATGTGTGATCAAGTATTTGTAAGTTAGGTTCAAACCACAAATCAGATTCAAATAGTTCAACGCAGATTCAAATTCAAACTTGAACATTGTCCTGATGAAGCCAGATACTGATGGGTATGTTTCTGTCTACAGTGAAGTTCAAGGGGGTCATTCTTCGGAAGCCCCAGGGAAAGGCAGTGGTTGTCGGGGCCTCCGTCAGCTTCTTCTGCCACGGGGTGGGGCAGCCCAAGCCCAATGTATTCTGGGAGCGGAACGGGAAGCGCCTGTCCCGCCAGGACTTTGACCAGACGTACTACCTGGAGGAGAGGGACGGGGTGTCCGTACTGGAGGTCGGGAAGGTGCAGGAGAGCCGAGACGAGGGCGCGTTCTCTTGTACAGTGGAGAATGACCTGGGCTACAGTGAAGCGGCCACTACCCTCAAAGTTTACAGACTGAACGGTACAGGCAACATACTCATGATAATAATAATGTTACGCGTCGATTCCCAAATTGAAACAATATGTTAACCCAGAAATCTATACGTAAAAGAACCTATTGTGAAACCAACCAACACCCAACAAGTGGTATACTGTCAAGAAATGAATTACAAATATTAACTAGGTTTACAAATCAATACACATTTCTGCACAGCAATTACAATGGCAGTACATAAAAGGTGAGGTAAGGTGAAATTGGGTTTAACATCGCGTCCAAGATTATTGCACTTATATAGCGACGTGCATGCACATGTGTGTGTGTGGCTGCTTGTACTAGTCCGGACTGATGCAGATTTATAGTGCTAGCCCACTGAGATACCATGCCGCAGTTTAACATGAATACCCAAATCAGACACAGTATACTGACTCCGAGCCGACCAGTCCTTGTTTTAGTCCCTTAATGCCGAGCGCCAGACAGGGTAACAACAACTATTATCTTTAAACGTCTTTTGGTATGACGCGGCCGGGATCGAACCCCGGACCTTCCGCTCTCCGGGCGGACGCTCTACCACTAGACCACAGAGGCGGTCCAGTACTCAATAGAGTGGTAGTACAATTTTCAATGGCAATAAATAATATAATGGCAGTGGTCAGTATCAAATTCAAAAACACAATGGTGATAGCAAAAATCGGTGATAATAATATATATGTACCCAGCGGCGACAGTGGTGAAGCTTCCGAGATAAGCTAGGCAGGGAATCAGGGATGATGAGCGATCCTCACATGAAAGCTAGTTTCGAAGCGGTGAAATGCGTTAGGTCCCGTAAAAACGCTCTTGTCCAACGATTTATCATTATACAGCCTAACCAGCTAATAGAAAGTTCCAGATGGTCCTCACAATAAAGAACATCACAGAAATTCCAATATGCTTCTATAACCGCCCATATCACCGTCCGCGGTATATGGACCGGAAGTTTACACACCACACTAGCACCTATTTATAGTAACTTCTTGACAACTGATCACTGCCAGCAATATCACGTCAGGGGAAACCTGAAATGGGCGTCACACATTGTGCCCATGTAAGGAATCGAACGCAGGTGTTCAGCGCAACAACCAGTAGGCTACCCCACCGCGCCCCCTCCATCTGAAACAAATTGAGAACAAATGGGTTTCTAAATAATCAAAACTGACATCACCCTCCAATAGTTGTTGTAGATTACGTCCTTTGTATATTATACATAAATCAAAGTAATCGAGATTGTGTTTTCAGAGAGACCCGAGGATTTCCCTTCCATTGTGAAGCACCCAGTAGTGACCGCAGCAGCTCGGGGGGAGACGATTCGACTCTACTGTTCATCCAATGACCCCACGGCCTCAGTCACGTGGTACAAGGACAGGTTCCCTCTGCAGCTGTCAGAAAGGGCCAGAGTCACCATGAAAGGTTCGTCACTTTGCAAGCACACGTGTGAAACACTTCCCGGGGCAAGGGCGTTAACTGACTATAAAAATCCAGTTTCCATCCTTGCCGAACTAGGCTGCAATTATGGAGTTATACTTTGGCGGGACTAACGGGTTTATGCATAGTCCAATCAAAATCGTGTAACGAAATCGACATCCGGTTTGTAAACTGCCGTGCAGATTTCGGTCGATTGCAGTATTTGCAAAGCATGTGTTCCGCCAACTCGGCGTCAACAAATATTTACCTTATCTTTTCGTGCATTTAATGAAGGTGCTCACCTGATTTGATGCATTTCGCGAAGTAAGACCCGTTTTATTGCTATGTATATCTTGATTACCGATCAGATCGTCTTGACTGGGTGACGCCATTTTGTCTGAAGCAAATGCCAGTGATATTAGAAGTGGAATCTGATTGGTCAATAGGAGGGACATGGAAGGGACATAACTCGTAACAGCCGCTGGTGACGCTACGATCAACCCCAGACATTCCAACCTAGTTCGGCAACATGCGTCTCCACTCGGCCCTTTCCGTGACGTGTAAGAAGACTCTTGCCCCTATCGATGAATGTTATGTGCGAAAATACGACAAACCAATCAGAATGCGCGTATGACTTCAAATACTTCGGTCAAAGAATCCCACAGGAATATTTATTTTAATTTTACATATGTCTTACATTTGAAAATGTATAAAAAATACAGTTACATTTGTTCAATCATACAGTATAATACTGTTAGTCCCGATGTGTTCAATAGGATCTAGAATTTATATGATATATGAGGGAATATACGTGAATCATTACGCAACGTGCTTAGACGCGCTTAGACGGAACCCAGTCGCAAAAATGACCACGAGAGAGGCACGAGTCGCTATTCGGGTTGTCCCGGAATAACACGAGTTGGTCACGAATGATTCGACAAGGTTGGAAACTGGACTTTTACACTAAGACAACTCCCTTGCCTCGGGCAGATGCTTCCCATATACTTACCCATAATTCCTTTTCCGAGTTCACCCACAGCAACAACAGCTCGCCGTATGAGGCGACGAGAGTAGTTCGGGTGGTCGTGCAATCAGCCACGTCATCGATCCGATAGTGCAGTGGAGACCCATTATGCACTAAATCAGAATTGAAAACGACAAGAGAACCTTATAAACGGGTGACTCAAACCTCACCTGCCATCCTCGATGATGAGTGAGTGCGGGAGTGAATATAGTTTTACGCCGCTTTTAGCAATATTCCAGCAATATCACGGCGTTGGACACCAGAAATGCCCTTCACACATTGTACCCATGGAACTTCGGCGTGACGAGCGAACACTTTAACCACGAGGCTACCGCACCGTCCCTCCTTGATTATGAGTGAGTGAGTGAGTTGGGTTTAACGCTGCTTATAACATTGTTCCAGTTATATCACGGCGTGTCAGCTTAATGTATGACGCAGGTCTCAGACGTTTACCACTTCGGTGAGACCAACGAGCCGGGTATGGCGCTGACAAACCTAGAAACATGATCGGGGCGAACCGGGATTCGAACCCACAATCATAGGTTAATGACGTGTCCAAGGGACGCAGCTCTGCACAGCAAATCGCGGCGCCTTAGACGACTGGGCCGCCCGTGCCCCCCTCACACCCCCTCGATTATTATGAAATTAAGCAGTCAATAATTAAGATCTCACCATTTTGTGATTTGTTTTTCTGCAAATAGGTTCAAATCGATATTAATATATTAGATATTAACATTTATGTTACTTTGTATTCCGACCGACCACGTGACTACAGGAAGCACTCAAGACCTACATTAAGGTGACTGGCATACAGTTGCGTCTATTCCCAGTCTATGTTTAGACGTTATGATTAGAGCCCTGAGTGGAACTGATACATTGGTCTATGTAATTTGGGTTATCGTTTATTGCTAGATTGGCCAACATAATAAAACTTGAGTTATATATAACCAACGGGGAAAGTGGCGTTTCAATTACCTGTTCTAAGGACATACGCCATGATATCTAGTGTACTGTACAAAGGTAATGTATACAGACTCCCCAAAAGGCAAACAGGAAGATAGTGTTTCAGGACAAACGATTTTCCTACTAACCCGATTGGACTTTCTACATCAACCAAGAGTAGTTTATTTCTTAGATGAGATATCAACATTTAAAAAAAATATTTAACCAAATTTTAATAATGATGACTCCGTCAACAGAAACCGGAAACCTCGGAAATGTTGGACAAGTAAATTTTACGAACAGGGGTGTTAAATTTGGTCTTTCGCGCATATTCTCACAATTTTCACGTCGATTGTCGCCACCTTTTCTCCCAACACCGATTGTCATATCTCTCCCACTTTTGGAAGCGATCGCTCGGCCTTCGCGTTTATCTACGTTGCCCAGCTACATCTATGGGGGACAACTCACTTGATGACAGTTCCCTCTCAAAAATAACGTCGTCCAATATACGACGTCATCAAGTTGCGAGCGCATTTCCAGAAATGACGTCATGATAGAACAATGCTTTATCGTGAAATAAACCACGCTTCGTTCTTCAGTGTTCTTTCAGATTTATCGCGTAGATGTCTTATATGATATTGTATTTCAGGGGCGACTTAGAAGCCAAGTGGTTAGACCACGGTTCGATTCTTTGGTACTAAGTGTTAAGCCCAGCGCTAGTGTTCCCCGTCGTGATATGGTTAGAACATTGCTTACCATTACACACCCTTAATGTTAAGTGAGTGAGTTGGGTTTAACGCCGCTTTTAACAGTATTCCAGTTATATCTCGGCGTGTCAGCTTAATGTGGGAGGAAAGCCCGAAGTGATGCAGGTCTCAGACGTTTACCACTTCGGTGAAACCGACGAGCACTTGTATGGTGCTGACAAACCTAGAAACATAATTGGGGCCAACCGGGATTCGAGCCCACAATCATAGGTTTCTGGTGGGCCCAAGGGACGCAACTCTGCACAGCGAATCGCGCTGCCTTAGACGACTAAGACGAGGAAAGCCGGAAGTGATGCACGAGCACGGGTATAATGCTGAAAACCTAGACTATGTTCAGAGAGCTGACTGCCTTATCTTGGCTTTGTAAGTTGTAGGTATCAGATATTTCATCTTCATCTTAAAACATTTGTTATTATTTTTTGTGTTGTGTATCCACATGTTCATCTTTAAAAAGACACTAAAAAAACTCCCTTTGACTGAGAACACAAGATCCTTTTTTTTGTCTAAGACTTGCAAAAAGTAGTTCATAAAGCTATCAACTATTGTAATGCATTGAAATGCAATGGATTGAGAGCTTTGAAGTTGGGGAAAGGAACAATAGCCTTACTTCCTTTTTTTTAATATCCATGCAAAAAAAACAAACAGCGTGGAGTTTTTTATGAAACGGGCCAACACTTTCCAAGGCGGGATGATATATAGAAAAATATGTTCAAGCAAGCTATGGGATTCATTGATTTGTATTAATGTTTGAGTGAAATGGTAATTTAAGACCGGTGTGAGATGAGTAGCACAAACGCAAACAGACTACATCCTTTTCTTTGTTTCTGCCAGATGGAGCCAGTGAGCTCCGCATCCTGAAGGCGCGGGACAAGGACTACGGGAAGTACCACTGCTCAATGGAGAACGCGTCTGGCATCGTGTATTCTAAGCGAGCCATGTTGTACATACGTCGCGCCGTCAGGAAGTCCTAATGTTAGCCCTGCTAGTAGGTGTTGTGCTGATGTGCTAGTGTATACGTAATGTTTGCATGTACATAGGCTTCTTTGTGTGCAGGTGCTTTGCTGTGTAGAATATATGTCCTGTTTTCCACGCTGAAATGGGGCGGTAGCCTAGTGGTTAAAGCGTTTGTCGTCACGCCGAAGACCCGGGTTCGAGTCCCGACATGGGTACAATGTGTGAAGCCCATTTCTGGTGTCCCCCGCCGTGATATTGCTGGAATATTGCTAAAAGCGGCGTAAAACCATACTCACTCGCTCCTTTCACGCTGAAATACGCTACATTGAAATCTTCTGAAATTGATATCTATTTACTCAAACTTCAGAAGCTCGAACTCCGATAATACCAACACAATGCTTGTCTCGAACTATCAAATTTCGAGATAATTTCGATTGTACATTGGATTTCAAGTTTCTGAGGTTTCACAGGATGTCTTCATACTATATGCATGCCTTTATCTCAGCGCCGTCAGTTACTTAAGAATGCTTTCAGAAATATGGTTGTGTAAAGTGGCTCATTGGTTAAATATAACATACTAATCTTTACTAGTTTGGATGTGTTTGAAAGTATGATTAAATTCCCCGTATAAATTAATTGGCTCATTACAAGGATAATAGTAGGGCCCATCTCTGTCATCTGCCTGGCCCGGATTGGCTGGTCACTTGTAGCCAATGACAGCGCGTAACATCAAACCCTTGCATTCTGATTGGCTCAGCAGTCGTTTGAGGTATCTGCTGACCAATTGGAACAAGCGGCAGTCACGTGTCTGCTCTTTGATAAGACAAGGTGTGACTTACACAGGTTCTTTATGTATATTAACTCGCTCTGTCGTCTTCGAAATCCTTTGTTTTGTTTATGATTCGTAGGAAGACACACGCATGGTCAATCAGTGATTGATGTCCAAGAAAGGATTAACATAATCTCAACAACTGTAATGATATATAATCCCTTCACAATTAGAACCCCAATCATAGTTCATGCTGATTTAATCTCCGCGAAATATTAATGCCAGAAATTATCGTTATTGGTTACTAACGGTATCTAGGATTTCGTTGTATGTGTTCAATATATACTGATGACGTACATGTGTCGTGTAGAAGGGCCCTAATTGCCTTCAGTGGAGGGTATTTGTGTGATGTACAAAATGAGAGCGTCATGCTATGTTTTTGCTACTTTGTGAAATAAAAAAATTCCTGTCATGTTGTGTTTCTAAATCTTCCATGATGGCGGTTCGAGCGTTTCAAGAATACTTTATCGAATGTGGTCCTTCCTTTGGAAACTGTGTTGATTTCGTCACCTTCATCATATATTTTCCACACAACCAGATCCGGGTATACATGCGAAGATCTGGGTCAGAATTGGTCTTCAGCAACCCATGCTTGTCGTAGAGGCGACTAAAGAGATCCGGTGGTCAGGCCAGCTGATTTTGTTAATGCATATAATCGTATCCCGTAGATTGATGCTCTTGATGTCAATCACTGGATTGTCTGTTCCAGACTCGATTTTCTACAGACTGACTTCGTTTAGCTGGAATATTGCTGAGTGCGGCGTAAAACAACAAGAGTCAAATGCGCATGAAGGAAAGTGAATCTGACTGTTTTAAACACTGTAAAACACTAAGTGGCTGTGTATGGTTTAGTAGACACAGACAATCGTTTCTCGTGCAGATTTAATGATGGTCGACTCAGGAGAACTGCGTACACAAAACATTTATATCTAGGCGAATTGAGTAAGCTGGAAATGATCTCAGATTTTGCCGATGTGAACTGAAAACAAATGCAACGCCATTGCCACTCACCGTCTCCTGTCCAGTGGCATTCACGGATTGACTAATATTTTTCGGTTCATCGAATTAAAATTCTAAAAACCGAACTGCAAGCCTTTGAAATAATCGGCCCATTCACGCATTCTGCATTAAGGTAATCCGTTGTCTGGAATCGTCCTGCAATGCCATCTTTAAGCTTTAAAAGAAGCTTGACAGCAACATCCTCGATTTAACTATGGCATGAGCTTTTTATCCGCTACCTACAGAAACACCAATCAGCATGTGGATTCGTCTGTTAAATAGCTATCGACACGACACAGGTCCGCCCATGTGTATAGTGATCCCGTGTATACATAATCTCATGGAGACAACGTTTCGTTTGTTTCTTGTTGTTTAACGCCTCACTCAACAATATTCCAGCTTTATGACGGCAGTCTGTAATTTAAGTAATGAGCTGAAAATCCAGTGAATGACATCATGAGCATTGATCCACGCAATTGGAAAACGCTGACGTGCATCAACCAAGTCAGCGAACCTGACCACCGGATCCCGTTAGTGTCCCCATACGACAAAACATCTATTAGTTTGTTTGTTTGTTTGTTGTTTAACGCCGCACGCAGCAATATTCCAGCTATATGACGGCGGTCTTTAAATAATCGAGTCTGGACCAGACAATCCGGTGATTGATAACATGAGCATCGATCCACGCAATTTGGATCGATGACATGCATCAACCAAGTCAGCGAGCCTGACCACCCGATACCGTTAGTCGCCTTTTACGACAAGCATAGTCGACTTTTACGGCAAGCATGGGTTGCTGAAGACCTATTCTACCCCGGATCCTCACGGGTCCCATCTATTAGTAGTTCATATAGTAGATTCTAATTAAAGAAGTATTTCCCTAATTTGAAATACTTATTCCTGTCCCAACTATCAGTTATAACCAGATCGGTTATTACGAACCCTTGTCTAATCCTCACCTTATTTGGGGTGTGGGGTAGCCTAGTGGTTACAGCGTTCGCTCGTCACGTCGAAGGCCCGGGTTCGATTCCCCACATGGGTACAATATGTGAATCCCATTTCTGGTGTCCTCCGCCATAAAATTGCTGTAATAGTGCTAAAAACGGCGTAATACCATACTCACTCACTCAACTGATTGGTGATCAACGTTTTCGTTCATATAAATATAGATTGACTCCGTGTAGTTTGATAGAGCGTCTGCGTAGTAAGCAGAAGGTCGGGGGATCGATACTCGGCCTCGCCATACCAAAATACGTTACAAGATGGTACTTGATGTTACCCTGCCTGTCACTCAGTATTAAGGGGCTAAAACAAGGATTGGTACGGCCGGTTCAGTATATACGGTGTCTAAATGGGTCTGGCACCATAAGTCCGGACTAGTACAAGCAGACAAACGCGCACAAACCGCAACGTGAGTGCAAAAGTTCTTAAATGCGACCGCAACCCAATTTCCCCTCGTTTGTTATGAATTGTGAGCATCAGGTTAGGGTCAATATGATCCTCATGACAACCTGAACAACACTGAAATCCCAAGAATGCAACAACAAAACAAGAAAAACAACAAACAATTATTTTATGAAAGAGTACAACCTTGCCTTAGTTACAACAGTGCTACAATTCCTAAGCTGATGGGGCCCGTGAAGATCTGGGGTAGAACAGGTCTTCAGCATACCATGCTTGTCGTAAGAGGCGACTAACGGGATCGGGTAGTCAGGCTTGCTGACTTGGCAATCTCATTAAAATCAGACCTCAGTTCTCGCTACCGCTAAACAAAGATCTGAGTACATCTCATTACGGGTCACGTCAGAACGACCTTTCATCCGACCAATCGGAGCATCGCTTACCAGATTATGAAAGTGACAGTCGGAATGTGATTTCTAATCATGCTACCTCGAAAACTTTAACTCCGAACGATAGTTACGGGTTTAACGACTGAATCCATACAATCTAGGCCATCTATTAGCCATTCCAGAATGTTCTTTTGTTCAGGTTTCAAATCTGTAATTGAGAATTTGTCAAAAAATGTTTCGGAGCGTAGTCGCCAATTTGAAATTAGTGCCGTAAAGCACGAGAAAGCTGCCTTCTGATTGGTCATTCCATTAGTCGGTCAAAGTTTGCGCAAGGTCAATATTACGTGACCCGTAATGGGATGTCCTCAGATCTTTGTTTAGCGGCAGCGAGAACTAAGATCTGATTTTAATGAGATTGGCTGACTTGGTTGATGCACGTAATCGTATCCCAATTGCGTAGATCGATGCTCATGATGTCAATCACTGGATTGTCTGGTCCAAACTCGATTATTTACTGACCGCCGTCATACAGCTGGAATCGTGCTTAAAGCGGCGATAAACAACAAACCAAACCAAACCAAAACCTAAGCTGATCGATGGAATGTAAAGACGTCGTATGTATGACACGAGGAGATGATATTTGATACATGCTTATCTGAGAACAAGGCTGGCTGTGACCTGGCACCATATCTGCTGGGACGGTCCGAGAGTGCAGGCTTTGGAATCGGCACAACAACATGAGGTGAGGCAAACATCGCATTTGTCATATATATGGGTATGCGTTCACGAATTGGCTTACGTAATATTGTATAACAAAGTTTTAAGGGTTAAAGTAGTTGGTTTTTAGACAGTTTGGACCCGATTCACGAAGCAATCTTATCGCTACGGGTTACGATGATCGTATCGCAGCTATTGTTTTACGAAACGGGTCATGCCTTATACCCCAGTAAGGACCTGGTATCTCAGTCAGGATCTAGGTACCCAGTGAGAACATTGTACCACAGTAAGAACTTAGCACAACAATAAGGATAGTGTACTGCAGTAAAGGCCTAGTACACCAGTGAGGACCAAGCACCACATTTAGGATATTGTACTTCAGTAAGGGCTTAGTACACCAGCAAGGACCAAGCACCACATTTAGGATATTGTACTACAGTAAGGGCCTTTTACACCAGTAAGGACGTAGCATAACAATTAGGATATTGTACTACAGTAAGGGCCTAGTACACCAGCAAGGACCAAGCACCACATTTAGGATATTGTACTACAGTAAGGGCCTTTTACACCAGTAAGGACGTAGCATAACATTTATGATATTGTACTACAGTAAGGGCCTAGTACACCAGTAAGGACCAAGCACCACATTTAGAATATTGTACCACATTAACGGTCAAGGACGGATCGAATAACACGGAGGACGGTTCGTCAGTATGGTTGAAGAGGCACAGGCCTCAATGACAAAGCAGGCTGACATCTACGGCTATAACAGCTATACTTCAACATCAAGTCCTCGAAAGGCATTAGGACGTGGTACACATAAGGAAGCGAATTTATGGATGTCAACTTCTTTATTATGAGGAGCACAACGTCTTGGAGAATACACTCACCCCTTCATCGGGTGAATAAATGCCCGCTGCCCATTGCCTATTACCCATCAATTGGCTATCAATCGACAATTGGCTATCATCTACCGCCGTCACCTATCAGTGCTTATTTACTGTTAAGTCCTGGCTTACATCACCTGACAGCACCAATTATCTATTGTCTTTCCTTGTTAACTTTGCGCCTTTGTTATGCTATCGCTTTTGTTGTTCTTACAGGCACATATATATATGTTCTCTCCTTCATAGCACGTACTCATTCACTGCACACACTACCAAACACACCGAACAACACTACAGACCACCCTAAATCTTAAAACCGCACTTACACTAGAATCAATCCTAAATCCTCAAAATAAATTAGAAAAATTCAAAGCCTTAGGCATATACCTAATTAAAACAGGACTAATTAGTCGCATTTAAACCCCAAATAAAATATTAAAACCAAAACTACCTTATCTCACAACCACCCAACACACACACAGCTCCCTTAGTTCGTCCTCCACCCACTCTTGGCATTCATTCCAAATCTCAAAATTTCAAAATTACTATATAAGCGCCACCTGGCGGCGAGGTGAGAGCACGCACGAAAAGCAGCTCTGATGAAAATGCAGTAGAAGTCGTCAATACTACTTCAAAAACCCCTTTATGTATTGAAACCTAATGACAAACAAGTATGGGGTGTGATCTAGCAACGTATAGAGGAAGTGTTGGCAGTTTTGCTTCAACTTTTATCGCATTTATGGGTCGCCGAGCGAAATTGGCTCAAGTCATGCGTGTCGCCATGATGCACGTGCCGGCAGGTACAGGTAGGCTTGTGAGAGCAGCCGTCGTCGTGAGTGTTATGCTTCTAATCCAACTGGGTAATGATGTCAACCTAAACCCAGGCCCCGGCCCAGAAGATACAGGTGCAAGTAGAGTGACGAGACAAACCACCAAACCTCCGAACTCCGAACCCAGTAACAGTGAACTTCTGAAAGAAATTCGAGGTATGAGAAAGGATATGAGTGACAATTTCTTAACACTGTCTAACCGGATAAATTGCATTGAACAGGATTTCCAAGCGATGGGAAATGAGAATTCTGCCCTAAAAGAACAAGTTTCATACTTGACACGTAAAATAAATAACATGGAGAGCCAAAGTAAAAGAAATAACATTATTTTTTATAATGTGGAAGAAACTACGAGAGAAACTTATGACCAAACTGAAGCAAAAATAAATGAAATTATTATAAACAAATTGAAACCTTCTGATGAAAATGTAGGAGTGCTTTTAGCAAGAAGACTGACGACTAAAACCCCGGGACCCAGACCAGTCCTCTTGACGTTCACACACCCAAAACACAAATCTCAGGTGATGGGTTCTTCCCGAAATTTGAAAGGTAGTAAGATACATATCTCCCATGACTTCACGGAGGAAGAACGCAAGGTCAGAAATAAACTGACACCTTTTATGAATGAGGCTCGACAGAACAATAAATTCTCTATGCTGAGATACACCAAACTCCAAATTGACGACGACCTCTTCAAGCTGGACGATACAGACTCCTCTAAACTTCAACTCGTGAAACACATCAAACGTCGCCCTCCTCTGCCCAGTTCTGCTTATTGTGGAGATGAAGACTCACTTTCTGAACAATAGCAGACTGGCCAAGGCCCTTCCGACAAAGAGACGGACATTAGATTCATTTGCTGGAATATAGAGGGTCTGAAATCAAAACTAAATGTGCCATCATTTAAATAATTCATTGCCAAATTTCATATTGTTGGCCTCGTGGAAACTTGGGCTGATGAGACAGATGTATTTGTGTTTAATGCTTTTTCTCAATTCCGGAAATTGAGACGTAAACATCGTAATGCTATCAGGAATTCTGGAGGACTTCTGTATCTGGTGAGTGATGACATAAGTGAATTTTGCTCTGTATTCCAAATTGATTCCGAAAATATCCTATGGCTTAAATTCGAAACATGTTGTGAAACTTTATTCCTTGCACTCAAATATATCTCTCCACCCAACTCTAGTGTTTACTCTCTTGAAAATATGTTTGACACCCTTGATAATGATATCAGCAATTTAAAAACTGATTCCCCAAATTGTCATATCTATATTATGGGAGACTCCAATGCCCGGACAGGTTGTGCTCATGATTATATTGAAAACGATGACACTACCCACTTGCCCATAGATGAAGATGTACACTATGTGGAGGATAGTAATTTTATACCACGACACTCTCAAGATAACGTCTTAAATTAAAGAGGACAACACCTACTTGATCTCTGTAAAACTACAGGTCTCAGAATCTGTAATGGTCGTGTTGGTGGGGATACTGGGGTGGGCAATCATACTTGCTTTGCTAACAATGGTCAAAGTGTTATTGACTTTGTACTGACATTTGAAACCTCGTTCCCGATGATATCATCTTTTCAAATCGGAGATCAAGTTGATTCCACTCACCTACCAATTGCATTTTCTCTCAAAGTAAAAACTTCATCAAGTGCCAATTCCCGTAGTCTTTTATCAACAAGGACCATATACAAATGGAAAGATGAAAATCAATCGACGTATGTTGACAACTGGAATAACCGATCGACAGAGATACATTCAGCATTCGACGATGCAGTAGCCTGTAACAAGGTAAACAGTGCAACTGATTTGTTTACAAACATGTTATCAAAATGTGCCAGCCATTGTGAAACTAATCCGTCCACATCAATCAACTGTCAATCAAACAAGAGACGTAACTGGTTTGATCCTGACTGTGAAAGTGCACGTGCTAGTGCGCGGCGATGGCTTCGTGCATTTCATGTCTCCGGTAGCCAAGCTGACAGACTGCAATATACATCAGCTTGGCGAGAGTATAAAGACTTGTGCTCATACAAAGCTCGTTGTTACCAGAATAATTTTGCCAACAATTTGGTAAATTATTTGAATAATAATGACAATAAGAGATTTTGGCGTACTTTGCAAAATAAATCGTTTGTGATTTCAAAAGACATTACTTCCTATGAATGGATGAGTTATTTTGAATTTGTATTTCATGGAAACCGTGAATGTAAAGATTTTATTGAATTTTATAAATCTGTTGACGATTTTGTGAACTCTATTTCAGCTGAAGTGATTGATAGAACTGTTGATATAGAAAGTGAGCTAGATGAAGTTATCAGTATAAACGAGTTGTTATCAGCACTAGGCAGTATGAAGCCAGGTAAAGCACCAGGTCTCTCAGGTATATCAGTCGAGTTCTTTCAGAACGCTCCGCCGGTTTGTCTGAACATGCTGTTGGATTTATTTAATCTAGTTTTGTCTACTGGTATATTCCCCAATCAGTGGTCCTTTGGTATTATTCTTCCAATCTTTAAGAAAGGTAGTCCACGTGACCCCCAAACCTATAGGCCTATAACACTCCTTGACGTAGCTGGTAAGATTTTTGCAAAAATTCTCTGTAACAGGTTGAATAACTGGGCGTTTCAGGAAAGTTGTATCGTTGGAGAACAATCTGGCTACAGAAAGGGTTTTCAGACCACGGATTACATCTTTGTTGTTGAGACATTGATCAGTAAATATCTTTCCTACAAAAAAGGTAGACTATACTGTGCTTTCATCGATCTAAAAGGGGCATTTGATTCTGTGTATAGAAATGGTTTATTTTTCAAACTATGGAAGGGTGGTATCAAGGGACGAGTATTTAGAGTTCTTAAAAATATGTATAAATCTGTCAAATCTTGTGTTTCATTAGATTGTGGTCTTACAGATTTCTTTGATTGTATGTCAGGTGTTAGACAGGGATGTCAGCTGTCTCCATTTTTATTCTCATTTTTTATTAATGACATTGTCGAGGAGTTGGAGTGTGATGCTCATGGTGTTACCTTACATACTCTAGAACTGTTCATCTTGTTGTTCGCCGATGACATTATTTTAATGGACGTGTCAGTTGTTGGTCTTCAAAAGCGACTTGATAAACTATCTTTATATTGTGATAAATGGAAACTTACTATTAATACTGATAAAAGTAAAGTTGTCATTTTTAGAAATGGTGGAAAACTTAGAAATCAGGAAAAATTTAGGATAGGAAATGATGATGTCACCACAGTATCGAATTATAAGTATCTCGGTGTCCAGTTATCCTCTTCTGGCTCGTGGAGTTTAACTCAGAAGACATTAGCCCAGCAAGCTTGGAAGGTGATTCAAATCCTCCAGTCTAGACTAGGTAAATTCTCATATCTGCCACCAGATGTCTGTTTCAAAATTTTTGATGTAAAAGTGTTACCAATTTTGACATATGCATCGGAAGTTTGGGGATTCCATGCATCACCTGACATTGAAAATGTGCACAGTAAATTCTGTAAATTGACTTTGGTTTTGAGTAGAAACACACCAAATAGCTTTGTAAAATCTGTCTTGATGAGAAACTCCGTCAAAGTGTCACATTATTTAAAAATTATAAAATTTTGGCTTCGACTATTGATACAAGATAATAATTTGATTTTGAAAAAAACATATAGTTTTCAATATAAAAAGGGCAGAGAATGGCAACGCCTGCTGGGCACTCAAGATTAAATCATTGCTGTTTTCTTACGGATTTGCAGAGGTATGGCTACAACAGGGTGTTGGTAGATCTGACTTGTTCTTACATCAGTTGAGGCAAAGGAGCGTAGACATTGAAAATCAAGTGTTGCACAATAATTGTGAATCTTGTTCTAAGCTTGAATTGTTCTCTGCAGTAAGGGATAAATTTTCATATAATAACTGGATTCGATTAATTGATGTAACATTATTTCGAATTAATATCTTGAATTTTCTCGGATCCAATCTTATGGTTGAAACAGGCAGATATCATAATATACCAAGACATGAACGTTTCTGTCCCCTCTGTGTTGTAAGTGCTATCGAAGATGAGTTCCACTTTTGTATGGTGTGTCCGTTCTATCTTGATCTGCGGTCTAATCTCATACCAAATTATTATCACATGTTTCCAAGTCGTGAGAAAATGTTCTTATTATTCAGCTCGACTAATCAAAGTATTTGCAACAATTTAGCAAAATATGTATTTCTTGCTGGTAAGAAACGTAATTCCATTTTCAAGGGAATACCTGTGTCATATAATTAACTCCAATATTAACAGTTTGAACACTGCATTGTAAATCTTATAATTCAGCGCTCTGTCACATTTGTATGCCATCATGCTCTGCACGTGTATAATGGGCCGATGGCCTCATTACCTAAATAAAAGCATCAACCAGCAACCCCTAAAGTCCCCCTCCTGGGTTGCACAAACTCGCTTTTCCCCTTTTCGGAAACACATTAAATGGCCTGGCCGGGCCCGTGTGCGAAATACGCTTGCAGTCGGAAAGCGCACGTTAAATCTCCAATATCAGTAAGTAAGTAGCATTTATTCACCTGATGAAGGAGTAAGCATATGCTCCAAAACGTTGTGTTCCTCATAATAAAGAAGTTGACTTCCATAAATCCTCTTCCTTATACTTTAACATGTACAATTCCCGTAGTCTTGGTCTGTCTGATCCAGGTTCAATCCATAGCTTCCACGGTATAGCTTTACTATTGCCGACTAAGGCAACGCACATGTAAATTCACGCTGTTATCAAAGAATGAAAAATATGTAGCCAGACATTCTATTTGTTAAAATATCCCAAGACATGCCACTAAATTGAATGGATTTCTACTACGCTACTTTCTGAAATATCACATGTCAGTGCTGTATGCGCCCGTTGCGTCGGATTAGAATGAGGGACGTTCGCGGCTAGACATCACGAGTCAAGTTTTTCCGGTGAGGGAATATCTACATCATACTTACATGTACCTGTGCGGTTGCCCATACTGAGGCGAGCCATGGGGAATGGCTGTGACGAACCTCTCCCATAAACTTTGTCTCAAAATGTCTTTCCGACACAATTTTGAACAGTTGATTGAGATGCAATTTTACTGCATAACGCACTTTCTGTATACATAGATATATGGTCCAAAGAAGTGATTTGATAAACAAACTCTCGGTTGCATATTGTAATTTCATAAAATTTGTATGGTTGCCTTACAACAAGGAATTTAAATCAAGAAGCGTCAGCGTAAGTGTGTTAACGTCGTTCTGAACAATATAGCGGTGAATCGCGGCGTGTCAGGTTAATGTTGGAGATATTCCAATGTGACGCAAGTCTTGTACATATACATATGAACACAAGAAAGATGATTCCGGGACGCAACTCTGCACTGCCTAACGAACGCCGAAGGAATGAGTTTCATCGAGGCCACGTGAATCTGATGACGTTAACTGGGGAACCTGGTGACGTTAAGTGTCGGAATCTGATGACGTTAAGTGGGGAATCTGATGACGTTAAGTGGGGAACCTGATGACGTTCAGTTGGGGCGTCTGATGTCGTCGTTGTAAGCACAACGGCGTCAAAATAAGTATTTTGATCAGGTCAAAGTGACGACCAGTATATGTTATGAGTTCTCAGGAGGCGTGTTTACGCCAGTCTTCTAATGCGTCACAATTCACTCTACAGACTTGTGACAGGATTACCCGCCGTGATATTGCTGGAATATTGCTAAAAGCGGCGTAAAACCATACTCAGTCAGTCAGTCAGTGTGACAGGATTCGATGATGATGGATTTGTGGGTTTGAATCCACGATTCACAAGGCCTGAATCCCTGTGAGATTCCTCCCGATGTACGCTGTAACTGAAAGACCTTTCACATAGACGTTACACCCATCTTTGTCTCTTGTTTCAAATAGTGTTCTCCAAGTCGTTATCAGAATTATAATAATAAAGAATTTGATTTAATAATGATATTAAAGTTAAGAATGTCAAGGAATCTTTCTTAGCATTCGTTATCCAGCGATAATAAAGGATCTTCTCTTTCACTGTAAACAATCGGGGGCACGGGTGGCCAAGTCGTCTAAGGCGCCGCGATTCGCTGTGCAAAGTTGCGTCCCTTGGGCACACCAGAAACCTATGATTGTGGGTTTCAATCCCGGTTGTCCCCGATTATGTTTCTAGGTTTGCCAGCACCATACCTGTGCTCGTGGGTTTCACCAACGAAGTAAACGTCCGAAACCTGCATCACTTCGGGCTTTCTTCCTACATTAATCTGACACGCCGTGATATAACTGGAATACTGTTAAAAGCGGCGTTAAACCCAACTCACTCACTCACTGTAAACAATCAAAAGCATCCAACTGTTTGAACTGTGAGAGACATGTTTTTCTGATTATGTTTCAGGTGTATAACACTGTTCTTCTCAGCGGCCTGGGTACTTGGTATCGTGTCTTCCCAAAACATCGCTCTGTCTTCCAGTGGTATGACGGTCCTGAAGGCTGTGTACGGGGCTTCCTGTGGCACGGGCAGAGCTCTGGCAGATGAAGAATCCCTTCTCACAGATTACGTGAAGGCTCTCTGTGACGGCAGGGACGTCTGCTCGGGCGTCGTGGACGTAGACGTCTTAAACGGGGCCATCGGCAGCTGTGACGGGGACTTCCACGTGGTAGCGGTGTGTGACCACGGAGAACTTCGCTCATATAGTCTGGATGGGGAGGCTGCGGGAGAGGAGTTCACCATTGACTGCAGAAACCGGGAAATCCCCGTGGCCCGACAACACCCTGACTGGATGGGGAACATGGGGGATGTACTGGTAAACAAGACAATCAAACAGCTCCGTCTAGCGGGGACACATCACAGCGGGACGTTCTCCTTCAATATGTTCCTGTACCACCTCGCCAAGTGTCAGAACGTCCGGGTGGGACAGCAGCTAATGGCGGGTGTGCGGTATGTGGACTACAGGCTTGGGGCAATGGAAGAGGCTTACGGAGCTCGGGTGATACACGGGGTCTTCTACGGACAACTCGTTCTCGCGGATCTCCTTGAGATATGGGCTTTCTCTCAGCTTCACCCGAGGGAATTCTTTATAGTTGATTTCCAGCATACATCAACACTTGAAATGTCGATGCAACGGCAGCTGTCTGTCTGGCTGGACGTGCTGTTCCGGGACACGGTCATTAACAGATGGACCATCCTTCTCACAGAACACACCATGGGGGATGTGTGGGGGTCGGGCAGGAGGGTGCTGTTCCTCCACGACAGACCCACCTCAACCCAGGTGTGGCCTCGTGGGGTGATATATGCTCGCTGGCCAAATGTGTGTACTGGGGAAACTCTGGATGAACACTCGGAGAACGAGTTGTCCCAGATCCACGTCCACCACCATCAACTGGTCATCCTTCAATGGGTCATCACGGTCCAGTTCCAGTGCCTGACGAGTCTTTACGGACGGTCCCTCGACATCCGGGAGGAAGGGATGCTGTGGCTGCAGCAGCAAAACCACCCGTTCACCATTGTCCTTACAGACTTTACACTACAGCCCCTGGAGGAGGCGGGCCTCGTGGAACAGATCATCGAGGCCAATAGACATGTGGATGCTTAGTGAACCAGGGCATTGCAGTTGATGCTGATGGACACTTAAAGAGCGAGGACAATGCATATAAGTCGGTTGGACGTTCAGTGAAAACATTCTAGCGCCCATAGGCAGATTGAGTTGTATACTCCCCAGGGAGTTGAGAATGATAACTGAAATGCAAACGGATCCATTGGTCAGGGAACATTTAAAACCGCATTTGAGCAGATACTGGTACCTGGATACCTGCGCAATATTTAAAGAAATAAAAGCCTCGTGGTCGTTGTTTATCGTACAATATAAGTTAGCTCCGCGACAAATCACAGAGAACAATAAAGAACAAAGCGTGGTTTATTTCACGCTAAAACACTGTTCTATCATGACGTCATTTCTGGAGATTCGAAAATGCGCTGGCAACTTGATGACGTCGTAAATTGGACGACGTTATTCTTGAGAGGGAAGTGTTTAGAGAGTTGTTCCTCATAGATGTAGCTATCTTATGTATAATATAATAATAAGTACCCAGTTTATTATGTCTCTGTTCTTTTACGATATATACCCTAAGATCATTCACCGTCAGGGTCGGTCGGGTAGCCTGGTGGTTAAAGCAATTGCTCGTCACACCGAAGATCCGGGTTCGATTCCCGACATGTGTAAGGCCAAATTCTGGTGTCCCCCCCCCCCCCCCCCCCCCGCCGTGATATTGCTGGAATATTGCTAAAAGCGGTGTAAACACATACTCACTCACTCATTCACCACAATAGTGTTTCGGAAGTGACGTCACCTTTTTCTGTTTGTTTCGGGATGTTTAATAGAACCATAAGAATTGACGTCATCTTCCCGAGGCAAGGGAGTTAACTGACTATAAAAGTCCAGTTTCCACCCTTGCCGAACTAGGCTGGAATTGTGGAGTCACATTTTAGCTGGACCAACGTGGTTATGCATAGTCCAATCAAAATTGCCGTGCAGATTTCGCTCGATTGCTAGATTTACGTGAACAGATATTTTCCAAATCTTTTCATGCTTTTAATCAAGATGCTTACATGATTTTAGGCACTTCGCGAAGTAAGACCCGTTTTATTACAATATATATTTTGATTATCTATCAGATCGTATTGATCTTGTTTGAAGCAAATGCAAGTGATATGAGTGGTTGAATCTTATTGGTCAACAGGGGGAACAAAGAAGGGACATAACTCGTAATAGCCACTGGTGGCGTTACGATCAAACCCACAAATTCCAGCCTTAACTGAAATTCCACAGTTAACTCCCTTGCCTCGAAAATATGATGATGTTTTCCTGGAACATATATTATATCAGTATAACACAGGAGGGGGTGTCTTAAGATCCCAGTTGTAATTGGTACAGTACTCAACAAGGCGAGTTCTAGCGTGAGCACTTCTTTCAATTATGAAAGGCCAATGTAAAATGATTGGTCGCCTAAATTTAGCATCATTTCAACCGGACTCCAAACGAAGGCATGAGGGCGAATGGGCGAATGGTATGTATCATAATAGAACGAACGTAATGCAGTGGGTGATCGAGGCTGTGTGAACGAGGACATTGCAGATACTAAACTAGTGTCCAAAAGAAACGATACCAACTTATTTTCAAAATTAATTTTTAATAAGTGAATTGTCAAGTATGAAAACATGCCAATTCGTATTGCACATCCCAAACACAGCATAGTCGATAAAAAATACCGGGAACACGTGATCACTTCCGGGAAAAAACGTAAATTTCGTGAAAGTGACATTTCCCTCTCTAGCATGTTCTGCACGTGCAGAAAAACTGTATAAAACGGCTGATCAGACACGTTGATATCACAGCAACAAAAAGAACACAAGATATGCCACGTTTGACAGCCATCAAGAGAGAGAGAGAGCCGTTGGAATGGTCCAACAAGGAGCCTCACACGTCGACGTCGCCAGAAGGTTAGGCTGCGCACGAATCACTATCACCAGGTTGATGCAGCGGTTACGTCAGACAGGTCAGACGTCAGACAGGCCCAGGAGTGGAAGACCACGAGTAAACACGCCCCGTGAAGATCGTTACATCCGCGTATTACACCTGAGGAACCGCACCGTAACAGCGACGTCCACGGCGGCTACAGCACTGGGACACAGGATCAGTCGACAGACCGTCTACAGGAGACTACGGCAGTATGGTATCCGGCCACGTCATCCCTACCGACGATTTGGTGAACGTTTGGCGCCTAACTGTATCCAACAGGTCCGGCCGTTTGGAGGTGGAGGGTTAATGGTTTGGGGTGGCATATGTGGTGACGTCAAAACGATGCTTGTAGTAATTCGTGGAAACCTGAATGCACAGCGTTATCTTGATGACATCCTACGGCCTGTTGTGGTGCCCTTTATTCAGCAACAGCCTCGTGGACTCCTTGCCAACGCCAACGTACAGGTTTTGCTATGGCCCGCATGTTCACCGGACATGAATCCCATCGAGCACTTATGGGACCACCTCGATCGGCAAATCCGACGTCGCCGTGTGCCTCCAGTCAACGTCCAGGACTTGGAACGATGTCTCCTCGAGGAATGGCAACGCATCACTCCCAACGTCATCAGACGTTTGACGTCATCAGTCCGTAGGCGTGTTCTGGCATGTATTGATGCTCACGGTGGACATACCCGCTACTGACTTGACTTTGAGACGTGTGGTGTGACATTTCCCGTTGTTTCTGTGATCAGTGCTCTAACGAAATGTTCATTTTTCGACCCCACCCATCTTTAAAGGCTTGTCATATTGGTTGTACAGATTTTATTGCAATGAAATTTTTGTACAGATGTTGTGAAAGGATTTCTCAAAAGCATAACACCAATCCTAAACTTCTGCATTGTTTAGTTTTTCTTTTGTGTCGTTGCAAACAGGTGGTATCGTTTCTTTTGGACACTAGTTTATATTGGAATAATATGAAAATTTGATGGACATTTTAGATGTGGACATTGCATGTGGTGTAGTTGGAAACTAAGGACCGAGGACATTGCAGTTAACATATGATGACTTATGATATATTTACACTTAGTGAATGGGGCATTGCAGTTAATATGTGATGACTTATGACACATTTACACTTAGTGAACGGGGCATTGCAGTAAATCTATGTGACTTATGATATATTTACACTTTGTGAATGGGGCATTGCAGTTAATTTGTGATGACTTATGATATATTTACACTTAGTGAACGGGTCATTGCAGTTAATATGTGATGATTTATGACATATTTACACTTTGTGAATGGGACATTGCAGTTAATATGTGATGACATGATATATTTACACTTAGTGATCGGGGCATTGCAGATAATATATGATGACTTATGACATATTTACACAATTATTGATCTGGGCATTGCAGTGAATATATGTGACTTATGACATATTTACACTTAGTGATCGGGGCATTGCAGTGAATATATGTGACTGATGACATATTTACACTTAGTGATCGGGGCATTGCAGTTATTATATGATGACTTAATGTCCTCGTTAAAATGTTATTCAAGTTTATATTATCTGCAATGTCCTCGGTCACTTAGTCACCTTTATTAACTGCAATGTCAGCTCTTATCGAACGATATCATGTGCAATGTCCGCTGTCACTTTCTCAACTATATTATATGCACTGTCCTCGTTCACTTAGTGTCAATATGTCATAAGTCATCATATATTATCTGCAATGTCTTCGATCACTAGTTATCAACTTTATAATAACTGCAATGTTCCCGTTGACAAAGCGTCAGTATATCATAAGTCATCGTATATCATCTTCAATATCCCCGTTCCCTAAGTGTCAATATGTCATAAGTCATCACACATTAACTGACATATTTACACTTAGTGAACGGGGCATTGCAGTTAATATATGATGACTTATGACATATTTACACTTAGTGAACGGGGCATAGCAGTTAATATGTGATGACTTATGACACAATTACACTTAGTGAACGGGGCATAGCAGTTAATATGTGATGACTTATGACACATTTACACTTAGTGAACGGGGCATAGCAGTTAATATATGATGACTTATGACATATTGACACTTAGTGAACGGGGCATTGCAGTTAATATATGATGACTTATGACACATTTACACTTAGTGAACGGGGCATTGCAGTTAATATATGATGACTTATGACATATTGACACTAAGTGAACGAGGACAGTGCATATAATATAGTTGGAAAAGTTACAGCGGACATTGCATATGATATCGTTCGATAACAACAGTTACTGACATTGCAGTTAATAAAGGTGACTAAGTGACCGAGGACATTGCAGATAATATATACTTGAATAACATGTTAACGAGGACATTGACAAGATACTGGACACTTGAAGAGGACCTATGAGCCAAAGACAGTTCTCGAACAAAGATATGTTATAAACACCAAAGGAAGTATACACCTATGTTTGATGATGACTAGTAATGAAACAAACAATAAATTGTTATTCGTTGGTTATGTGTTTGCAGGGTTTCGGCGACAGGGTTTTGGTAACGTTTGTCTTTTGGTAAAATCCATTATTCAAGTGTATACTTTATTTTACCCTGCGGTTTCATAGTAATGAATTTCAAGTAATCCCACCCTAAATGCATCTGTCATGAAGCATAACCCATATCGACACAACTCATACAGAGTATGAAACTGGCTGTTATTTAGAGTTGTGTATATTTCAAATAAAGGCAAAGCTTTCAACTCTAATATTTCGCCTGTTCAAGTATCAATGATTGTACGTCTATCGCCCAATGAATCCTGAGCACCCGTTGTGCAGAGTTTGGTCCCTTGGCCATGTTTGGATCAGTGATTTCGAATACAAAAATCGCTCCGATTATCGTTCCTGGCCTGCCAGTTCTACTTCTGTGGGAAAAGGGTAAACGTTTTCGAACCATGGCATTTCAAATTTCAGTCAACAAAAATCCGACACGCTCCTTTAAGACCAGGACCAGTATACAATATATGTTCCTTGTAACATCTGCATCTCGTAAAAGACTCGTGAAGATCCAGGGTAGATTAGATCTTGAGCAAACCATGCTTGCCGTAAAAGGTGACTATGCTTGTTGTAAGAGGCGACTAACGGGATCGGGTGGTAAGGCTCGCTGACTTGCTTATTGCATGGAGTCAAGGGTGAATCGATGCTCATGATGTCAATCACTTGATTGTCTGGTCCAGACTCGATTATTGACAGATCGCCGTCAACAGCTGGGATATTGCTGAGTGCGGCGTTAAACAACAAACAAAGCTTGTCGTAAGAGGTGACTAAATCCATTGGGAGGCTTGGTGATATTAAGTTGCTTGCCAGACAGTTCTATTTCTAGATTGGGAAGCGGTGGAAATATGATGGTGCCCGAGC